GGACGGGCAGGTGGAAGACGCGGACAAGGAGGAGAGGAAGGCAGAGATGTTCAAACAGTTGATGGAGGCGATGAAGAAGATCAAGCTCGAAGAAAGGAGGACCATGATCGAAGAGAGGAAGGCCAAGCTCGAGGAAAAGAGGATGAAGATTGCCCCCAATGCGGAGGACACCAAGATGTTGACCTTGAATTCACACACTTTCTATTAAAAACAACCCATTTTTAAATTAGTGGATTGTTTTTTTAAATAAATGAACCTTTTTTCAAATTTGTGAACTTTTTCCAAAAAATTTAGATTTTATGAATTCTTTTTCAAAATCGATGAACTTTTTCAAAAAATCTTTTTTTCTAATATTTTTTTGAATTTTCCATATATATATATATATATATATATATATATATATATTCCTTTTATGTTTCTTCTAGACTCACCAATTTTCAAAAAAGTATACAATTGTTTTTTAGGCAAGCGAACAAAGCAGAGGCACGTGGGCCTTTTGGGCCAAGCCCAGGTCGTGCGCGTGAGAGCCAGCGAGCACAAGTGGGCAGGTGTGCAAAACCGAACCAAAAACCAAAAAGAATTGAAAATCAAACCAAACAAAAATTTAGGTTTTTTCAAGTTACGGTTTCTTTTTTAGTTCTCGGATCTGGAAACCATTTAATCTTCGGTTTTTTCAGTTAGAAACCAAACGATTTTTCGTTATTAAACCAAAAAAATCGAAAATAGCTTCTCATTGTGGTAAATTTTCACAGATGTGAGTTCATCACCCCTCCTTTTATTGTCCTCCATCCACCTCACTGCAACTCGCCAAGCGATGTGGTACTAAACTGCGCACGTGGATCGGCATCGGCACCTGGAGGCTACGTCTATATCAACACATGTGGGTACGGCCGGAATTAATTAAGCACGATGGTGAGGACGTTATTGATTGTTAACTCATATTTGGCTATTTAATAGAGGAATGGAAAAAATCATGAAAACCGAACTATTATATAATACTTACCTTATGTAACAAGGTGTGATTATTTAGCTACTACATTTACAGAAGCAATAACAACAAATGCACCGGAATTACTGGAGAATATTCTCCTATGTGCTTGCTTTTTTTTTGAAAATTCAGCATGTGTGGTTGCTCGCTAGTTTAACTAGCATTGTACCGCTAAAAAGGCTAGCACTTTTGCACCCCCACCCTCCACCCTAGGCCGACCCATTTTACACTTTTCCCCTTCTGTAAGACCTTAAAAAAGTCTGGTTTTTGAATTTTGACATGGTATGCAAGTTGTGACATGTCGGACATGCCCTCTGGCCTAGGCATGCCCATGGTAGACATCCATAGCTAGTTTGAGCGACTTTCTCCACCGTATGCAAGTTGCAACACGTCGGACTATTTATTGGCCTTTTTTATTGAGAGAACTCCGGAAATTACAAAACTTGTAGAAAACCGGAAAAAACCTTGCATGGCGCCTTCAATTGGTCATACAAGTCCTTGGAAAAATTGGGATCATTTAAGGGATGTGGAGAAACGAGGTGCTCCCAAACATATCCTTCTGGTCTACCCGAACACTCTTATTTGAATATACTATTTTTTACAAATCTCAGGATTGACCCCAACTTTTACAGGCAGGTGGACATACCCATGGTAGGCATCCATGCAAGGTTTGAACGATTTCCGACATCATATGCACGTTGTGACACATCTGGCCATTTATCGGCCTTTTTCATCGAGAAAACTTTAGAAAATGTAAAACTTGTTAAAAAAATCCAAACCACTTGGCTTGGTGCCTTGAATTGCTCATGTAAGGCTATTAAAAAAATGGGGCCATTTCAAGGATGTCGAGAAACAATGTGTTCTCAGACGCCTTCTGGCACCGTTGAACATGGTCCAGTTTTGGACATCCATGAAATGAATCCAACTTTTGCAGGATGGTGGACATACCCATGCTAGGCATTCATGCCAGGTTTGAACGATTTTGGACACCGTATGAAATTTGCGACACGTCTGACCACTTATCGGCTTTTTTTCATCGAGAAAACTCCAGAAAATGCAAAACTTGTCGAAAACCCAAACAGCGTGCCTTGAATTGGTTATACAAGGTCATAGAAAAATTTGGGGTCATTTTAAGGAGTCGAGAAGCAACATGTTCTTAGATGGAGCCTTCTCACCTACCCGAATACCCTTCGTCAAACATGATCTATTTTTCGACATTCTTGAAATGACCACAACTTTTGCAAGAAGGCGGACATGCCATTGTAGGCATCCATGTCAGTTTTGGATGATTGCCGACAAGTTGTGACATGTCCAGTCATTTATTGGTCTTTTTCTATCAAGAAAACTCCAAAAAATGTTAAATTTGCTGAAAACCAAAACAACTTGGCATGCTGCTTTGAATTGGTCGTGCAAGGTCATGGGAAAAAATCGAGCCATTTGACGGATATTGAGAAACAACATCATCTTAAACGGAGTCATTTGACCTAAATTTTGCAAGCTGATCACTTGCACGCAAGGCATAACCTTGAGCTTCTTGTTGCAGCCTGCATGTGCGTACCTGTAGGCAACACAGTGTGCCGTTCGTGGTTTTAGTCTCACCTCGTCTAGTTACACGGAAGGAGACCGGAAGAAAGGGTGGCCATATTAACCGAAAACCGATGTATCGAACCGAAAGAACCGGGATTGAAACCAACAATTTCAATGTTTATTTCGTTTGTTAAATCTATGGAAAACTCTCAGTGTCAATCGGCGGATTTTCCTTCGTTCATCCGCCGCCTCCCACGCAACGCGTATCCAAGTGGACCAGCGCACCAATTTGGGTGCTGCCTTATCTTCTCTTTAGATTATTCCTGGCCACATCTTTTCAGATCAGCAGATGTAGCACGGGGCGTCTGTCGCCTCCCTTGCTTGACACGTGTCCTGCGTGACCACGCACGTCTCACTCCCTCTGTTGGGAAACGTAGTAATTTCAAAAAAAAAAAATTCTACACACATGCAAGATCATGGTGATGCATACCAACGAGAGAGGAGAGTGTTGTCCACGTACCCTCGTAGACCGAAAGCGGAAGCGTTAGCACAACGCGGTTGATGTAGTCGTACGTCTTCATGATCCGACCGATCAAGTACCGAACGTACGGCACTTCCGAGTTCAGCACACGTTCAGCCTGATGACGTCCCTCAAACTCCGATCCAGCCGAGTGTTGAGGGAGAGTTTTGTCAGCACGATGGCGTGGTGACGATGTTGATGTTCTACCGATGCAGGGCTTCGCCTAAGCACCGCTACAGTATTATTGAGGTGGACTATAGTGGAGGGGGGCACCGCACACGGCTAAAAGATCAATGATTTAATGTTGTCTCTAGGGTGCCCCCTGCCCCTG